AGTCTATTGAAGACCTATATTCACTTACTCACATACTCTCTCCAGTCGATTCAACAGTCCGCATCCGGGACACACGCACCTTAACGCCGTTATACATCCTCACACATCAGGAAAGTTGACACAGAACCCGCTTTAGCGCTTGTGCTAGGAGCGATAGGCGGTGGTATATAGTCTATATACCGACTCCTAGTTTTGATTAGCGAATCTGCCATTACCTAGTGCTACCTAGTACTACCTAGCACTATGGAGAGTTTAGCGCGCGTGGCACGTTTTACTGATGCACCCCACCTCAACACTTCCGCCGGCGACATCTTCTCCCTCACCTCCTCGCCCATCCTCCGGACCCTCTACTTCGGCTGCAAAACACCAGCTTGCAATGGGACGACTTCTCCAAGACCAAACCGCGCCGCTCTTCTCGCAGACCTAGAATCAAAGCAGTCGCCATGAATGCAGCTCTCGAAGGCGCAAAGATCCACCCCACACTCGCCAACGCGTCTATGTGTTCCGGCCATACGAGTATCGCATCTCTAGCAGCCGAAGCAGGTAGGGCAGCAAGCGGTCTTTCCGCCTTGGACGCTTCCCATTCAGACCAACACCACGGCGACCAAGAAAACGAACATGACTCCTCCGACTCTGAGCCTGCGTCTCCGAAATATGACATCAACCTCCAACAAAGGAATTGGCATCCCTTCTTCAACAATACGACACGCTTCGGCCGTCCAGGCATGAGTGGACCCGCCGCATCTACTTTATCCGTCCCTCAAACACCTCGTTCGCAAAGTGTTAACCCGAATTCATCCACCTTATCTTTACCAGGCACGAGCACCTCAACACTCTTGCATCAACATCTCCGTCTTCTCCAAGTCTCTCCCCAAAGCATGATCCACTCCGCACATTCCGGATACATCTATGTACTGCATGGCAATCTTGCCCAGCCCTTTAGATGGCGCTTTCGAAAGGCGAAGCGGGGGCGAGAAAAGCTTTGGGTCCCCTTCAAACTAACTCCCGTCTTTAATAGAACTCAGACGTCCTCTGCCTCTCCATGATCGATACCGACCTCTACACCTGCTGCGCAAACGGCTGGATTCAGCGCTGGTCTGCCCAGTTCGCTTGTACCGCCTCGTGGAAAACCCATGAAGGGATTATATTATCTTCTATCATCGCTTCTGCTTCTTCGATTGCGAATACTTCTAGTGGAAGAATGATTACGAGTGGTTATGAGGAGGGTGAGAGTGACAGGGAGGATACGAATGGTGATGAGGAGGATAAGCATGACAAAGGATGGTACCTCGTCACTGGAGCGAACGATAACGATATCAAGGTATATTCCCATTCTCATCTATTACATTATCACATTACTTATTCAATCAGCTTTGATGATAGATCTGGTCCATCGACCTCCCCACAACGCGATACCAATATCAACCGCACGACCCGCACCCCACTCATACTCACACCTACCCCAACCCGACATACTCCTCCCCTTCCGCCTCTCCCCACCACAACAGGAACAAATGGCTACATATCACAAGATGCTGAAACTGGTGAAGTGAATAATATACCTTTTCCCTCAAATATCACGGAGGATGATGAGAACCGATAATGGGGATGAATTGCTAGACGGTAGAGGTCGATCCGACTCCTAACACTTTCGCGTTTCCAAGGTATAATACTCAAGTAAAGGTACTAAATATGCAGAAAAGAATAGTTCTCCCGCTCCCCCTCTAGCCATGTCAAGGAGAAATAAGAAGACCACAAGACGCAATGAATCGGTATAGGGCTTGGTCAAAAATAATTGTGCCAAAGAGTTTGAGAACTCATGAACTAACATGAAAGGTGCCTGAATGAATAAGCGATCCAGGGGGATCCTTGGGCTGGTAAAGATGTTTCGGTCCAGAGTTATCCAATCGAGCTTTTCTCTGGACGCCCTTGGACCACTCTGGATGTCCAGAATCATGTGAACACTATCAAATCCACACACTGATGAATGGAGAGCATGTTGTTTCGAAGTGAGAAAAAGGGACAACCAAGATATAGTCAAATTGGCAATACAAGAGGATTGGAACAGCATATAGTCATAAAAGGGATAGAAAGTCAAAATAGCGACATAGGCAGCATAATACAAAATGCTTGAGAACTGACAAGAACAAATTAAAAATCAAGAAGTGGAATAGCAAAGAAAAAAATTGACACCCACGTTTATCACTTTGCCACTCTTATAATGTACGTAATTGCAAAGTTCGGGTCGTCGGGGCCAAGATCATCAAGGGATTGGTTGAATTTCCCATCTCCCCGAACATAAGGTAGTTCTCTTCTAAGATCGGCATGGGATGTTGCAATCTTGACACTCCCACGCCACGGTTCATAGGTCGGGTCATTAAACCTCCCAGATATCAAATCGACTTTGGTCTTGTTTCCAGCGACGCTGAGACCAAGATGAGGATTTGGCTGGTTATTCGTTGGGTTCGCGGAGTCAGAGTCGACAGCGAACCCAATTTGTGGAAGCTTGGTCGACCCAGGAGGTGGGATTTTGATTGAAGCGACGAATGAGATTTGGACAACCTTCGACGATGCATTTCTCTTAACGAAATTAGTGAGAACGTCATTTGCTTTGTTGTTGCAGAATGTTCTGAATTCCGCCGATATGTCTGCGCTTTTGAGGGCATTTGTGGTGTCGGTTTTCAACGTCTGAATAGCTTGGGCTGGATCCATCGATACAGAAAGGTACACGGTGGAGGAGTTTGAGGATACATCTCTGAGACTCATGCACTACTTATACCCATTCCAAGATGCGTAGTAGAATTGTCAATGGCTCTGTTCAGTAATTTCCAATCACGATATCCGCCAGCTGGGAATTATCACCTCAAGACAGCTGGTGTCACTTGAGACTGCGCTTCATTGTATTTGAATACCATAGTCACGTTTTATGATCTGCGTCAACTTCTTCCAACCTTAATGCTATTCAGTTGAAATGAGGACCCCCAAGATGTCAAGTTTTGAGTGAGGTGTAGTGTCATGCTATTCCTCCCCATAGCTCTAGTATTCAATAACAAGCCCGAAGAACCGCGGAAGCTTGACACCCTTAACTAGACCTTTGATGTCATCACTGGTTTGCACCCTTCTTGTCGAAGTTGGCAGCTTCGCAAATGAGGAGCAATACAAATAGCAAGGATGTTATCCTGATTGAGAATTTCCATCAAAACTCTACTATGACGAGCTCGTCTTGTGAGCATGCTTGCACGAAAGAAGCGAAGCATGCTACCTGGCATGAAAGAAGTTGAGCAATTTTACCAGAGTATGACGGCTTCTTTACCGTTGCGAAACAGTGAAATCACTTTCTAAATCGATGCATCTTCGCACTACACTTACCCACACATTGAGTTGAATAGACGCACTGTCAGCTTCAATACTCACGCAGTCACAGAATGGGAAGATTGATCATCCCAGGAGGATAATCAAGTCCACTTTTTTTATTTTCCGAGACATAGAGGAATGAAGGTCAGAGCGCCAACGACGACGAAACTCATGGCGAGCACTTTCCGCGCCAATATGACGTGTCGTCGCCGACGTAATCTTCCGTCGTTTAACTTCATGAGGAGGCGAAGTCTCTTGACTCACGATGAATTGAATATAATACAAATGTAATAGCTTCTTCATGCAAATTCCACGTACTTAATTAAGCTCCAACTCCGAATCTACTCAACTGAGGTTGGAATCTGTGAAGTTTGCGGATCGCACGTGCGTTCAGCTAAATTTATCTTACAGCCAAAAAAAAAAAGCGCCAGGGTGCGAGCCGCGTGACATTAATAGGCCCCGGGAGATCCCGCCAAGAACAGCGCCCACCCCAGTCAGAGGCTGTAAGAGGTTTTCGGCTCGTCCGTGTCGCCGTCTGTTCAACCTCACCCGGTAAGAGGTTTAGCCCATCTCACCCAGCACGGCGCTCTTCATCCTCACCCACTCACGGATTCATCACCTTTTGTTCAACCTCATCTGACTCATGTTCAATCTGACCCGTCACGCGCACCGCCGCTGTTCAACCTCACTCAGTAAGAGGTTTCCGGCCTGTCATGTTCAACCACACCCCGGTAAGAGGTTTGACTCGTGTTCAATCTCACCCAGTAAGAGGTTTTTGGTGGGTTCATTCTCGCCGGCTCCACTCACCCAGTAAGGTGCTGTTCAATCTCGACCGTTGTATTCAACCTCACCCAGTAAGAGCACCCGGCCATCTTGATCAACCTCACAGTTTTGTTGTGTTCAACCTCGCCGAGAAGACGTCATTCTGTTCGACGTCACCGGTGCTAGCTCCACTTCACCGGTTCAATCTCGCCCCACGACACCGCTGTTCAACCTCGCTCATTGTGTTCAAGTTCCAGGCTGTTCCAATCTCACACAACATATACTGTTCAACCTCACGAGGTCCGTCGTGTTCAACTTCACCCGGTCCCCTCACCCGCGTTTCTGTTCAAGTTCAATCTCACCGGTCATCATCCCATGTTCAATCTCACCGTTCGCTCAGCCGTCATGATCTCGTGCCGCCATCCCCTCTTGTTCATTCTCGGGCTTAGATCTCGCAATGGTTCACCGTTGTCATGCAAGTGACTCGTCTGGCGCTCCTCAAACCGCTCTGGGTAGGCACCTCACATAGCAGATCTTCAGTCTGTCGCTCTCCCAGCTGAGCTATCGCGCCGATAAAATTTGAAGACGGATCCCCTCCCTGGATGCACCGCTACATTGACATGCACCAGATACATTTGTCTTTAGGGGTTTAAAACACAGTAGATGCTCATACGCTTTCTTGACAGAGTCCGAGACACCAAGTTATCCAGTCACGACATTTTACAGATCGACCACTGCTCCCCTTGAAGTACTTACACCGTTCCAACACCATAATAGGCAAAGGGCAGGATTTCCAGATAGGATCAGTTCTTAGGCTCCCTCTTCTTGTGAATGGTCCTCTCCCCACGTCTGGGAGTAATCCTATCAAGAGTTATAGTACAGTATCTTAGGTAGTATAGTGGTTAGTATTCGCGCCTGTCAAAGACTAGACCCTAGCACGCGCGAGACCGGGGTTCAATTCCCCGCCTGAGAGATTATTTTTATTTTTATTGACCTTGAAAGGTTTACTGAGCAATGAACAATTAAAGATAGAAGAAAGAAAGCAATACCGGGGTGATATCATCCTTTTATGCGCGATTTTTCGACTTCGATAGGTCTCTAAAGGTAACTGTTTAAAAAGATCATGCGATAAGAGGTCCAGAACCACCTTCAATTTATTCAACTCAACAAGGCTAAGAGAATAGCTCACATACATAAAAGTTGCAGGACCACTGGCGGTGACTGGCTAGGACAGCAATATTGTTCCGATTTAAATTTATTCCGACACATTTGCAGTATCGCTAAGGCAAATTGAAACTATAAGGCCAAATGATAGCCTTCACGCTGGTTATTCGATACTAACTGACCAACCGAACGACTTACCCGACGTCGACAAGGAGATGTCAAGGAGATGTTGAAAGTGTCTCGATTTTCGGTCTGGTAAACACCTCGCGAAGACCCTTGGAGTCCCTAAAAACATCATAGTATTATTTGGCTCAAACGATAACCCCAAGCCTACAGCCAATTTAGCTTCTTCAAAATCCTTCAAACCTTGCAACGCTTTCGCTTTCTGGAAGTGTCCCTTGCTCCAGTTGCGTTTTATTTGAATGACGACATCGGCGTCTACGAGAGCGAAAACGGAATCTCCAAGGATGACAAATGCGATAGAACGATTCGAAAGGACCATAGCAAGCTCTTCTTTGAACTGATTAACCTTTCAGCCCCTGACTGGCCGAAGGCGAAACCCGACAATCCGAAAATTGGAAATTCACAAGAATACCTCTGGTGGACACAATGATGAGAAATGGAGGCCTCCTCTGAGTACGTAGGCGGCACGCTCGTGAGAGTGATCCAGAATGTGGAGTTCTATTCGCTTTCGCACACAATCTAGGAGTTCACGGCAGGTTCTTCGGGAGTATATGCAGTTCCTTAGAGTCAGTCAATTCGAAATAATAGAATGGCAAAACAACTGGTGTAAAATTTTAGCACAAAGCTTTTTATTATATGTCCTTTTTCGTATATACAGTCTAGGCACCGTCCTTGTCCTAAATCCCCTACTATTTATACTGTTTATTATATCTGAATAATACCTTGTTAATGTATACTCGGAGGTGCAAAAATAATGAGAGCAATCATAATAGAAAATCCTGAGATATGGTTAATAGATTGGATGATGTTGAGTAGATTCTAGGCAAACCACTTTGTTTCCACCTTCTGAAGTCACTAAATGCATCAAATATTTTCGGTTTAGCATCTATAATTACTCCTTGATACTGTAAGCATAAATACCTGCTGTTAAACATTAATCTTGAATAGTCTTTGACTGCAGAACAGCAGACTCCAATAGTATATGATACTCTTAGAGTGTGACAAGGCTACACATGTACACCCCAAAAGTGGCACAATTCTGGCTCTGTTGAGTATAAGATTAATTGATAGGTTATATATGATTAATCAAAAGTTAAACTACTGATATTGACATACATTTAAGGCAAGGCAAGGGCAATTGAGTGTTGGGACAAGGAGTGGTTTATGTTACACTATGTGACAAAACATTCCTCCTAAGCTAGGAACTCATAACATTGGTATAATACTCCGATTATTTTATGTAGCATACTGTACTATATACACTACACCCCTAACAAAACAGCCAAGTGATCTGTTGGAAGAAAAATATTCCAATGCCTGATTAAATAGTGTTGGGATAAGCACTGTGCCTAGACTGTATATGAAGGATTCTCTTTAGTCCTTTCACGTGGGATCTTTAAAACGAGAAATCTTTAACGGACTCATATCGACCCACTGACAGCACTATTACTTACAATTACTAAGGGGTCCCGTTTGCATTCAACCAGGTTCAACCTTGATCGAATACGTTGTATAAATACAGGTCAATTATCAGCTCAAATTTATGTATGATTTTGGAGCCACTCTGGCTGGTCAATGATGAATGATGACGCAAAGGTTTAATTCAATCCAAGGACAGAATTTCGTCAAAGAGAGAAACCTCTATTGTTCAAGTCGAATTTAATAGAAATAATAAATAGTTTACTCAGCTTTATGTCATATTTAGGGAAGGAATTGCTCCAACTTGCCATGATCGGAACGCCTTCGGATATCCAATACGGCCAGAGAGTGAACTTCCCACATCACGAAAGTTGACAAATGCTAGGTAGAGCTAGGTGTGCTATAGACCCCCATAGTGTATTTAGCAAATGTAACGTTGCCTAGAGGCACCTAGCAGGCTAGCGACGCTCTTAGCGACAGACTGATTTTCCAGAAGCCGAGTCTCCGATTGCTATATAGCACAAAGCGAGACGACAGAGCGCGCTACCTAGCAGTCTCCAGGGATACATTTTCCAATTGCTCTATCAATACATAGGAACAATAATACTGAGTTTATTAGAGAGTTTGTGCAAAACTGCTGGCGCTTCTGTGGCACTATCTTTTGTTGTGCATGTGGGGCTATTTGTGATGGAGAGAGGCTTTGGAGCGACCACCAGCTCTGAGGTGGAGCCCCAGTTGCACAACCAAAAATAGCGCCATAGAAGCGCCAGCAGTTTTGCACAAACTGTCTATTATATTTGAACCATGACTGCTACACAAGTAGAGCATACACTAACAAATCATAATAAAAAGAACAATTTTGCTTCATGCCAGACCGAGTACCATACAAACAAAGTAACGATATAAATAGAAAAATCCAAGCAATTGCATTATTTCTAGGTGACCCGGCGAGAGCGATACACTGCCGAAGTGAATGAAGGGTTACGGCTCTGTCAAAACAATATTAAGAAGTTGAACATACCTTAGAATGGGCTTTGAGTAAATCCAGTTAGCTATTGCAAGACAACGGGATTTGTTTGAAACGCACCATATAGGTTCAAACTCGTGCATGCCCTCGAGCTCCAACTCATTCCATTTCCAACCCTTCGAGCGATAGAAATGAGAGACGAGGATAAAAGATGATGAGAGCTTGGTTAGTACGTTGCAGAAAGCCCAAGCCAAGCAGTGATTCACTCAAGCACCAGATCGAAGGCAGAGTATAACACAAGCAAGCAGTGAGAAACCGGAGCAATGAGCGGAGCAGAGCAGCAAGCAAGGATAGTTGACAAATCCGATAACATAATAAGAGAGAGCATGAGGCGCCCTAAAGATGGGAGGCATAGGACACAACTCGAAGCAAACTGAGGTTGGGATGGGGGCACGTGAATGAGGGTGAATTAGAAGGTAAATCACAGTTTGAGCCACACGTGACTTGTTCGAAGAACAGAATTGGTTTGGAATGGATTAGCGGTGCGTAGCAATCCCTAGCAGTTCTAATAGCTTTCATCTATATAGAGCTATATAGCAGCTCGACTAGCTAGGAGAGCAATTAGCCGCCCGCGACAGCTTTCCTGATGCATTCTGAGTTCCACGGGAAATCCGGATACTGTTGTATGAGAGTTAGAAGACAGAGTGAGAGCGAGTAAATTCTGGAAGAATATATTTGGATCTCTTTCCCTTCAATTCGTGAGGAAGAAGCTTCAGATGTCCGTCCACGCGGCAGCGGCCTTTTTCGATTTAGGGGTCGCGAAAAGAATTATTTATAGAAATACACCTTTGAAGCATTACTTAAATAGGCTTCAATAAACATTCCTATTTGATAACACTCCGCAAATGCATTCAAAATATTTTCTAAGGACTGGGAAGGAAGTGGATAGAAGACAGTGGAACCGGCCGGTACCGAAATGGCAACTATAACATGCATGACGGTCACGTTTGAGCTCGAGATTTCCCTTAGCTCTATCCAGGACACAATGGCATTTCCTCTCTGTCTTCCCGGGACCTGATGACTCGTTTGCTGAAATACATGCTTGTTGAGTACTTAAGACTATGCAAAATTGAAAATACTCCTCTGCTATCCCGTGACTCAGGCTGATGACCTTGAATTTTTAGGCTTAATAATAAGAGCAACTCGACATGGGTCTGCTACCATTTGTCTATCAATGCCAGTTACGACAGGTTGGGTACAAATCAACATGCGCACTTAATCAAAGTCTTTCAATAGATGTCGTAAAGGAGATACGAACGTATCATCGTTTCATTTCACATTCATGACCATTCATGATTATTCGGCAAGTACTTATCTTAAGTTCACAGCCGATTCTATGAATTCTCTATGCTAATTTATTCGAGATAAATCTTATACTGGGAAAGCTTGCGTCGGACAACCAAACTTGCCTCAGTTCGCAATGATCATGATAACCGGCACTGGCATTAAATCTGTGCATTTAAGTTGAGCCAAGTCTGACTACTCAGGCTTGCTTAGATTTTCGGACCTCCAAACCCCATACCCTCGAGGTTCTGTGTGACTGTATAAAGGCCTTGGCAGCTTTATCATTTGTTTGCCAATCTTTATCCTTCCCAGACTTAAAAGCAAGGATAAGCTTATCAAAATTTTATCTCCTCCAGCTTCTTGGATTGGGATCTTAGAGCAGGAGCTTGAGCACTTGATGTGTGCCTGGCTACTTAAGCCTAGCTATAATTAGCATGACTTGTCTTTTCACAATCGGCACATTGGCGCTGCTACAGGCAGCAGGTCAAAAATTTCCAGGTCAGAAAATGGCCTGTAAAATTCCAGGATTTGGGTGTATTTTCCAGATACTTTCCAGCCCTGGAAAATACCTGGAATATCTTTTTTTCCCACAATTTTTCCTGACATAATCCAGCTTTGAAGATATTTTCCAAACAAATTCCAGATATTTTCCAAGGTCTGGAAAATGTTTGGAAGATACACTCAAATCCTGCCATTTTCCTGACCATTTTCCACTCTGGAAAATTTTGACCAGTCCCCAGTGCATCGCCTTGCAAGCTTGCATGCAGCGGTCTTGGCACTAGATTACATGGGTCTGCACAACTCCGAGTTCTTCGCAGACCACAGCTCCCACTTCCTTTCAACGACAACCATCAGCGTCTATCATGGTGAGCTTCATCCACGAAAAACAAGGTCTT